AACGTTAATGGAGATTTATTTAAATGAGGATGATCGTGAAAAAACTTTGGAGTACGGATTACGATTAGCATTAGGGATCAATCTTGAAAGAAATATTCAAATATCTGAGTCATCGCTTAACGAGGCAACACTAAAATTTAAACACGTTACGATAAAATTGTTTCAAAATGATGATGATTCAATAATTGAAACTGTTGAGCATTTCTTACCGAATTTTTTGATCGATTGGATTACTTGTCAAGCGATTTTTATGTATTACACCAAAGGAATTGACGAAACTAAAAGATTTTTAGACGAGATTTTATTAAATTTCGAATCGAAAGTTTTCGAAAAAGAAATTATACTCGAATTTTACGTTTCCCTCGTTTTTAAGGATCGTCTAAAAAATGTATCACCACAAAAAATAACAAACTTAAACGACTTATTGTTTAAAAGCATCGTTTCTTATCCAAACAACGTCTTTTTTTTAACGATTTTATCAAAAACGGAAAATCTTTCTTGTTCGATTGGGAAAAATTTTTGGAAATTAAAACGTTTATTAACCCAAACGGGGCACGCATTTCCAAATTTATTTTTAATCCTCATTGAAATGGAAAAAATCAATATCATCGAAGAAACTTGGGTAGAAACGGTCACAAATGGGTGCTTAAAAAATAAAATATCTTCGTTATTTCGCGATTTAACAAGTTCTGGCGTTTGTACGAGGCGGTGTGGATTAATTTGGAGGTTGTATTTGCAATTTTTGTACGAAAATTACGACGCTAATTTGTGTAGGAATGTTTATTATAAAGCTGTTGAGGAATGTCCGTGGTTGAAGGTAATTCTTTTTTGATTTAAGTTATTTAAGATTAAAAGAAAAAACAAGCTGAGAATTTCTTACTTGCTTAATTTATTAAATTTTTTATCAGAACCGGCTTTGAATAATCTTATTGATCATCAGCTGAATCTAAATTAAGTACGAAAACCACAAATTTATTAAGAGACGTTTGGCTAAACACAAATAATTCTAGTTTTAGTTGTTCCTCAAATATCTGAGCTTATTATGTAAATGGGGTTAAGTTATATAGATTTAATACATAAAAGTAAATAATAAAACTCACAATTATTTGACTTTTAAACGTCAATTTGACAATTAAACGTCAACATCGTTAAAAACCTAAATCACCAAAAGATTTCCAAAATTTTAGGTTGGTACCATTTTAGGGAAATGTGTTGTAAATTTAAACGTCAAAATGACGTTTAACCTTACATGATGTCTAGGGCACGGAACTTTTGTAACAAAACGATACGATTCCCCCCTCCACTTATTCTCAGCAGAAAATTTCATACAAAAGCTGTTTTAAATTAAATTCTAAAACGATTTTCTCAATAAAAAATATATAATTATGTATATATATAAAAAATTTTTTGAGGTTATATTCTTAATTATTGATCAAATCAAAAATTTGTATTAACAATATTTGTTTAGAATTACTTCAGGAACAGTGTTTGTTAATACAATTTTTTGCTAGCTTGAAATTTTAATTTCCCTCTGAATAGTATGCTATCAAAATTAATTATCTCAATAATTATTGTTTTTATCAAAAAATGTTTTAAATAAAATTTGTTTCAATTTCGATTTTGAATCAATTATCTTAATAAAAAA